TATACATGAATATTTGCACAAAGGAATGAGGGATCTCTGAGACCGCTTCACAGGCAAGAGATTGCTCCCTTAGAAAAACCTCCTGCTCCGTGAAGCACATGTCTGGGCTTTACACAACGGCAGCATCTGCAGCTCTGTTTGGTTCTCCTTCTTCCACAGTCCATGACTTAGGTTTTTCAACAGCTTCTGTGTCAGCACAATCACACTGGCAAGGTTCCGGCTGCGAAGCCCTGCCTACGCTGCTTGTTCACAAATAGCTCTTTCCAGAGGTCCTAACAGAGCCTTGACAGACACGTGTCTTTCAGGAAATGATTCTTATGGTTTCCTATCTGGACCCATAAATAATCTGATTATTTCTTATATCTTATTGTAAATGAAAGGCTGGAAGTGTATGCGCCAGGCATATGCTCTTTTTGATTGGTGAATCAGAAGCAAATAACCAATTAATATTTACATTAGCTCCCAATGCTAAAGCAGGCATTATCAGGGAAATATCTTGTTTGTCCTCTTAAATTTGCAAAATATTTCATTTTGGCTACAAGCTTCTTATAGGTCATTTATTCAAAAAGTTTTAGCCAATTCCTTAGCCAGTTCTTGTTTAACTGCAATTAAATTTCCATTCCTAACAGGCTAGCCTGATTTTTAGCCTCTGCTGACGTCTTGTTTTCCAAAAGACATTCTGAATCCATGCCATAATTTTTTTTGTGTGTCAGCTCTACTCCACTCAGCTCGAGGAGACAGATTTGCTCATCTCCCCTTCCAAGTGTAACTTTATTAATAAAGGACTTATTCTACTGCAAAATCACATACAGTTCTGACCTAATCTGATTTTAATCCTAGCTGATATTGCCTACAGTCTAACTCCAGAAGAATGTAGGAACAACAGGGAAAAAGGATAAAAGGCATGCTTAAATTCTAAGATGAAAAGGCTTATGAGTCTTCTACCATAAGGTGTGGCAGTGAAAAAATTCAGTTTGAAAAACCAATTGCATATATAATGGTCACACTCAAAAAACAAGCGGTGGAGGGAGGGAGAAGGCTAAGAGACTGTAGGACAGGAATATACTTTTTGTCAACATGTACATACATAACATCTAGGCACAGCCTTCATCATGATGGCATGTCTGAGATTTATACTAATACTAAAGCACACATTCAAGATGTTTACATCATTCCAGTAGGATTTTTTTTTATTGCTGTGATCATATGTTATGGCAATTAATCCAAAAATAAAAATGGCAGTCAAACTACAAGTAGTTTACTATTTCTAAAAAGTCTAATCATGTTTACATGTTAAATGGAAAAGTACAGGCTCTCTCTCCCCTGTGTTTTCCATAACTATTCTGCCTTTACTATTCCCTACAGTAACTTCACAAGTTTCCTAGTTTCTAAAACAAATAATTATTCAATATTTACACATATATTCAGATTCCACTTCCACAGTCTATTAGATGGTGAAACCGCAAAGTTGCTCTCTTCCTCTAGGAACCTCTCTGCTAAATGGAAGGTAGTTCAAATACAGGAAAAAAAAATAAAGACAGTCTAAGGGGTATACTAATATGATGTAATCAAAGGGGTATACTAATATGATGTAATCATGTACTTCAGGCATCCCTCACAGAGTCTTTTCAAGTGTATCATTGAGTATATAGTACGTGAGTATGTGCAGTCTGGGGAAAACAATGCACTACGGTGGGAAAAATACAAAAAAGCAACTCAAGAGCAGTCCACATCTCCCAGGCCCAAAAGATATAAACTAGTGGTAAGGAAGAGGAGGAGAGAAAAACAGGAGTGGTAGTAAGACAAGTATAGTGTTGCATATATTCTTATCTAAGAATACAAAGTGGAAGCTTAATTAGTTAGGTAAGAAGGCAACAGGTGTATTAATCAGAAAGAGGCCATTCTCTAGTTATTACCATCAAGCAGTTTTAACATGTCATAGGAGAGGAGAGTCTTAATAAATATTTGAAAAGGAGAGTAATTTCTATGTGTGAGAAGCACAGTCTATGGATAACGAATGCCATGGGAAAGAAACAAAGACAATATTGCAGCAACAACTTATTTTTGCTGTTTTTTGCATTTTGAAAAAATAATACAGAACACTGTAGTATTGCAAATTTTTAGCACTGCAATTATCTATCCCTAGAATTAATCCTGAGAATAATATTATGACAGATATGAGGGCCATGAAAACCCTGTTAAGCTTTGCTTCTCATATTGCACTGAGGGGAAGTAAGGTGAATTTCATGGATACTATGTGATACAGATTTTACCACAGATTTTGGAAAAGAGGAAAAAGTATCACGTAGCATTGTGAGATGCAGCTTTGTGAAAGAAGATGACCTAATATGTGATGCCTCCTGGCAATAGGAATTATTAGGAATGTTATTAATAGTTGGGAGTTCCTGTCAAGAGAGGATATGTTTATAATGGAGACAGATTTCTTAATACAATTTCGTGATCGCCACAAGCAAATCTTCCTGTGATTACACCACAGACTGATTTCTTAGTATGTTGCAAATACCACATAAATTATAATTACAATTGATTTACTACGAAGATATTACAGCTGTTGACTGCATGTCTGGGAAAATAAAGGATTAAGCGCTGAGCAAAGGGTACAGTAGTAAATTGCAGTAAATAGCTGCACTGATATGCTTGTTACCCAAAGTCTGTTTCAGACCATCTCTTTTTGACCTTTTGTTATACAGAAGAGGAAACCTTAACTAGAAAATACCCCCAAAAATTGACAAAGTAATTCTACTGCAGAAAATAATTCCAGTAACAATTTTATTGGTGCTGCAAAATATATAGTCAATTTGTTCACTCAGAAGCGTACTTAACAAACACTTCAATTTTTGATTTTTGCCTCTCCCCGATGTTGCCTAAATTCAGCCTTCTTTCCATGGAATGAATTGTATAATCAAATAAATATATCATTCCTTTAATGCAGAATTCTTCCGAATTCTGTGGGAGTAGAGGGTTTTTAAACATTGGCATCAGAAAGTATAGCCTTCTATCCAGTTCAACAATTGCATAATTTTCTCAAATTTAAATCAACTTTCAGCTGAACATCAAAATTTTCCAGACCAAACAAGAAAAAGAAAAAACTTTTCCAAAATATTTTTATAAGACTGAAATAAGGGACTGCAGACGTGTCAACATTAGAAAAGCTTCACCAGCATAAGTAAATATTTTTATATAACAATTGATTTACTTGTTGACATGATACCACTTGCCAACAGTTCTTTCTGTTTATTTAGGTTTAGGCCACTAACCTCTCTGACACATCAATGTCCTTTCTTCTAGAGCAACAGATCTAAATGCTGACTTTTCCTACATCTAATCCACGCATAAAAGGAGGAGTCTGGAGGCCAGATAGCCTCTGCTATGCAGTGGAAGAGAGGAAAAGCCGTAGCACGGCGCAAGTGTGTGTGCTCGTGTACAGGGAGGGGGAGCAGGGGTGCGATCTGCCAGCGGTCAGAGCGCTTCCTGTAACCCTGTTTATTTTATAGAGCATAGGGCCACGCAGACAAAACAATGTGGCAAGCAGGACCTTCCAAATACATCAACTTGAACAACTGACTTGTAATCCACTTAAATAGATCAGCTTGTCCACATATGGACAATCCTAAAAAGCTTGAGCTAAGGTGAACTAAAGCTACTTCTGAGAATGAGCACTGGCACGTGCTCGGATGTTCACTTTTAGTTAATTCTTACCAATTTCCTTAAGCATCGCATTTTAGGGAGAATCTGATGCAATTTGTGAGCACAGTTCTATGCCCATCAGTGGATTTTAGCCATGTGGAAATTATGGTGGACGTCTAAGTACCATCAAAGCTATGAACACTTCTGCATTTGCTGAGTAAAGCAGACTATGGACAATGGCAACCTATCCACGCATCAAACTAGAGGGATGAGGCTCTCTTGGAGCACTGTCCAAATTCTTTTAAGCCATTAGGGGGCACAAATTATACCTTCCCTATTTTTGCAGAGGCCTCTTAACTTCTATAGGTGTCAACCGGAACGTAACATCCACGACTGCGTAGGTTTTCCACCTTCACAACGGGTTTCCCATTTGGAGCCAGGCGGTGAACGCTTTCTGGAAGAAGAACTACTAGGTTTACGATTATTTATTATGCTCCTCACGGCCAGCCCGTGCAGGGTCAGCCCCGCTCCCCGCAGACGCGCCCCCAAGTGCTCCGCGGGCAGCGCTGCGGCCGCGGTCGCGGCCCCGCGCCGAGCCGGGCCCCGCAGCTCTCTGGCGGCCTCC